CATGCGAGGGGAGTGGAGGAGGGAGAAGCAGGCTCCCCGCTGAGCAGGGAGCCCGATGCGGGACTCGATCCCAGGACGCTGAGATCATGACCTGAGCCGAAGACAGGAGCTTAGGGACTAAGCCCCCCAGGCACCCCCACGCATGCCCCCTTTAAAAGCCAGCCATGGTTTCTTCGCACTGAGAGACACGGGAACGCTTTGTTTTGGTATCTTGTTTGTTTCTATTCAGAATCCTTGGACAGCTACACTCTGCCTCCAGAAATGTTGATGGTCACCGCCTCAGAGGTGGTTCATTGTTGTAGAGCCAGTAATGACCCCTGAAACCTACCCATCCGCCACCTCAGATCCCACCCTGGTAACCGTTTTTTTTGTTTTCGTTTGTTTTGTTTTGTTTTTTAACTGCCATCGGGGTGCACGTAACAGAAACACATGGCTTTGAAGTCATTCACTTCGTTTATTTTATTTATTTTTTAATTATTTTTATTAACATGTAATGTATTATTAGCCCCAGGGGTACAGGTCTGTGGATCGTCAGGTTTACACACTTCACAGCACTCACCATAGCATATACCCTCCGCCAGTGTCCATCACCCAGCCATCCCATCCCTACCCCACCTCCCCCCAGCAACCCTCAGTTTGTTTTGTGAGATTTAGAGTCTCTTATGGTTTGTCTCCCTCCCGATCCCATCTTGTTTCATTTTTTCCTTCCCTATCCCCCCATCCCCCTCCCTGCCCTGCCTCTCAAATTCCTCATATCAGAGAGATATGATAATTGTCTTTCTCTGATTGACTTATTTCGCTCAGCATAATACCCTCTAGTTCCATTCACTTCATTATAAATGGCAGGATTTGGGGGTTTTGATGGCTGCATAGTATTCCATTGTATATATATTCCACATCTTCCTTATCCATTCATCTGTTGATGGACATCTGGGCTCTTTCCATAGGTTGGCTATTGTGCACATTGCTGCTGTAAACATTCGGGTGCACATGTCCCTTCGGATCACTATGTTTGTATCTTTAGGGTAAATACTCAGTAGTGTGATTGCTGGGTTGTAGGGTAGCTCTATTTTCAACATTTTTTTTTTTTGAAGATTTTATATATTTATTTATTTGACAGAGAGAAGGAGAGAGATCACAAGTAGGCACAGAGGCAGGTAGAGAGAGAGGGAAGCAGGCTCCCCGCTGAGCAGAGAGCCCGATGTGGGGCTTGATCCCAGGACCCTGAGATCATGACCTGAGCTGAAGGCAGAGGCTTAACCTCCTGAGCCACCCAGGTGCCCCTGTTTTCAACTTTTAAAGGAACCTCCACACTGCTTTCCAGAGTGGTTGCACCAGCTTGCATTCCCACCAACAGTGCAGGAGGGTTCCCCTTTCTCCGCATCCTCGCCAGCATCTGTCGTTTCCTGACGTGTTAATTTTAGCCATTCTGACTGGTGTGAGGTGGGATCTCATTGTGGTTTTCATTTGTATTTCCCTGATGCCCAGTGACGTGGAGCACTTTTTCATGTGTCTGTTGGCCATCTGGATGTCTTCTTTGCAGAAATGTCTGTTCATGTCTTCTGCCCATTTCTTGATTGCACTATCTGTTCGTTGGGTGTTGAGTTAGATAAGTTCTTTAAAGATTTTGGATACCAGCCCTCCATCTGATATATCATTTGCGAATACCTTCTTCCATTCTGTCAGTTGTCTTTTGGTTTTGTTGACTGTTTCCTTTGCTGTGCGAAAGCTTCCGAACTTGATGAAGTCCTAATAGTTCATGTTTGCCCTTGCTTCCCTTGCCTTTGGTGATGGGACGCACATGGCTTTGTATGCGGACTAGGCGAGCTCCAGAGTATGGCGTGCTCCGCAAGCAGGCACAGCGCCCTCTAGGGGTAGCCTCCAGCCTCTGACACCTGCCGTCTGGGTGCCTGATGTCTTCCTCTTCAGCCCCAGAAAGGAATAGGGCGTTGAATGGCTTTATAATCAGGAGAAGAGTCACTGTTTGTTACAGGAATTCCCGCCAGGAATAGGTTTTACTCTGCTCTTATCTCTGCAGCTTGGAGATGGATGAGCTTGTCGTGTGGTTAAGAGAATGGCTTCTGCAGCCAGTCAGAGTTAAGTCAAGGTCCACATGTGGAGCTATGTGACCAAAGTTCCTCATTTTCTCTCCATGTCAGTTCACTCATCTGTAAAATGGGGATGACAGTAATAGTATGTACTTCACAGCACTATGGATAAAACACACCAAGTGCAAGTAGACTGCTTGAGACATAGTAAGCACCAGATGCTGTAGGCAGAGGACACCGAGCTCCCAAGCCCCCAGGAGCACAGCGGTGCCCTCCGAGTGGGGACATGGGGAGCCTTTGTGATATGGTAGCACATGGTGGGAGCAAGGAGAGGAAGGGGGCGTTTGGAAGGAACTGTGCAGTGGAGAGGCACACAGATGGGAGAGGACTGGCTTGTTTGAATGAAGGTAGTGCCCTGTGTGGGTGGGACATAGGGAGTTGGGAAGGAAAGTGTTGAAAGAGAAGGGAGAGCCTTGCACGTTGTCCAGAGCCCTTCTAGACGCTCTTGTCATTTTCTGGAATTCCCAGGGGAATTCGTCAGAAGAATGGCCACCGCGCACGCCCCTCTTTCCTCCTTGTTGCTTCACTCTGCTCCTCTCTCATCACTGTCAGGGCTTTGGAGAAATGTCCCTCCTTGTCACAGAAGGTTGTTAGAAGAGCCTGGAGACCAGGCCTCACCCTGGAGTGGACTTTGGCAAAAGGCCAGGTACAGGTGCAGAGGGCCACGTCCGGAGGACGGTGTTTGCTAACCAGGCCCCCTCACCCTGCCTCTGGCCTTGTGGTGATGCCAGCCTTCACTCCTGCCTTGTTCCTGCACCAGCCTCCAAGCGGGAGGGAGCCTCAGTTTCCCCTGTGCACTCAGGAGCAGTGTCCCATGGCCAGGGTGCCGTGAGGCTGGGCAGTGTGCTGTCTGTTCAGGATCCGTGCCTGTGCCGCTCCCTTCCCTGCAGCTCTGCCAGGGACCCACGCAGACCCCCAGGTGGGGACACGATCTACAGGCTCAACTTGGGGGCTTTTCTCAGGGATGCCTGAGCAGACGAGGCAGCCTGTGCCTGAGGCCACAGCTCCCAGCGAGGATGGCACCCCCATGCCCTGCACAGCAGTCCTTCTCCCACTGGATTTCCTGGCACTGCAACTTTGGTTTCTATGACAACTTGGAAAGACTTGCAATTGTGGCTTTTTAAAGTCTAAACTGGGAGCAGAGGTTTGAGGTAGGTTGGGATAATACCATGAAAATACCAGGTCCCAGACCAGAGCTATGGGCACAGAGGGTCACGGGACAGGAAGTTCTTTGAGTCAGAAAGGTGGCACCATCACCCCAGCAGAGCCTTAGCAGAGTTCCGTGTGCCCCCGCCCCCGACTCCTGGGAGCTTTGCGCAGAATGCAGACGAGCCTGAACTCAGAGGGTCTCCCCGCCTGTGGCTTGGGGGCCAGTGGCGTCAGGAGGAGTGGTCACATGTGGCATTTGCTGAGCGCTTACTGTGTGCCCGGTGCCCCGGGCCCATCTGTGCTTTCGTTGCCTTGTTAAGCCCTGACCCGCCGTGAGATGGCTGCCCCCACCCCACTCTGCACAGGTGGGTGCAAGTGATCTGCCTGAGGTTTTGGAGTGGGCGCATCTCCGTGTCTGGCTCAGGGACCCTGGAGTTTAACACCTGGGCTTGCTCTTGTCTGGCTCGTGGGCTGTATTCCCACGTAGGAAAAACCTCTATCACCTGTTGATGGTGGAGCCCATTGCTTCCCCCGTTACTTTTTGTTTTGTTTTTTTTTTGTTTTTTAAGTTTTATTTAAGTCGCCTCTACACCCAGCATGGGGCTTGAGCTCATGACCCCGAGACCCCGAGACCAAGAGTCCCACACTCTTCTGACTGAGCCCACCAGGCGCCCCTCCCTTTTAGTTTTTGAAAGTTCTATCCTGATAGCAGGGTTGTCTTAGCCATCATCCCCACAGTTTTGGGGACCTTGAGCCAGGGTCTTCTTTTTAATGTCTCCATTCTCGTTCCATGGCGGTCACCTTTCCATACCCCAGGCCTTGGAGTGGGGGCCGTGATCTTAGAGGTCTTGGGTTGGGCGTTGTTTGAGAGAACAGCTCTTGCTTCCCTGTGGTTTGGGGTGTTGGAGGTGCCAGTCCCGAGAAGATGGGCAGTCGCAGAGCCTCACCCACGGCTCCATGGAGAACTCTGGAGCAGCGCCCGGGTTAGTGGAGCCAGTAAGGGAGACACGCTGGCCTGGGAGGGCCGTCTTCCGCCTGCGCCGTTGGAGGGTGCCCCTGGGCCTGGCAGAGGGAGGGGAGGGCTCTTGAGGCCCAGCTGTCCTCGGAGGCCGCTGCTACGGGGTGTTTGCAGCTGGAGGGGGTCAGGTGCTCGCCATGCACGTGGCCGGGCTTCGGAGCCTGCCGTCCTGAGTTAGCCCAGGCCCGCGGGCCTCCGCAGCGCACGAGATACGGATGGGGCTGTGGCTGGCCAGAGGATAGCCCAGATTAGAAGGTCGTGTCGGGTGATAGCACGCCTCGGGGTGACCTGCTCAGCCCCGTGTCACACTTGCCCTCCGCCCCCTCTGCTCAGCGCTCAGCAGCAGGGGCCGGGCAGGCGCTTGGAGAAAGGAGAAAAAGGATTTCACTCCTAGCAGAGTGCTTTGCCTTTTGAGGGGCTGCTGAACCCTTCATGAGAGCGAGGCCCTTCTGCCACCTGCCGCTTCGCACCGCTTCTCCGTACGGTCGCAGTGACCGTCCGTCACCATCGTGCTTGCCTCTGCGGTAGGCGGGGGGAGGTGGCGTCTGAGGGTCGGCCTCTGGGGCTGGGTACGATCAGAGCGGGCTGTGGCACGTGCCAAAGCCGCCCCCGGGATCTGTGTGGCCAGCTGGACGCATGTGAACATGTGGGTGAGAAGTTGGGAGAAGGATGCAGCTTCTGCGGACGTCAGAGGCCATTGTGTCACACTGTGCTCTCCTCCTCAGCTGAAGCTCGAGGACCGCTCCGTGGTGCCCCGGGACGTGGTCCGGCATATGCGATCCACCGTGAGTCTTGGTGCGGGGGTGGCCTGGGAATGGTCTGGGCTGGGTCTGCCCTGGTGGCGGGGACCGTGCACTTCCTCGTGCCTAGATGCCTTCTCCTCCCCAGGACAGTCAGTGCGGCACCGTGATCGACGTCAGTATCGACTGTGCAGTCAAGCTGATTGGCACCAACTGCATCATCTACCCTGTCAACAGCAAGGACCTCCAGCACATCTGGGTGAGAGTCCCCCCCTGACAGCCCCCCTCCCGCGGCCCCCGCAACCCTGCCGCACCCACCCGGCACTCAGGCAGGGGGCAGCCCGCTTGTGTGTGCCTGGTGCAGTGCCTCGGGCTGCTGGGGCGTGAGGTCAGGCACATCCCTGTGCCTCCAGCGTGGCCGGCTGCTGTTGGTCTCATTACCTCGCTTCCTCTCCTCTCTGTTGCTTCCTTTTTGAAAAACAAATTTCTTCATTCATTTCTTTTTTAAGTGATTTCAGACTCAGGAGAAGCTGTGAGTTCCTGTGCTCCCTGAGTCCTCGGGCTCCTTGGCTGTGAGCCTTTCCCTCCATTTGCCCCATCATGACCTTCCTTCTCCCGTCCCCACGTTTCCTTCTCGCTGCCTGCTCTTCTCTCTGAAGCCTTGGGAAGCCGGCTACGGATAGAATGCCCCGTGGCCCCGGCCCCCAGTTTAGGAAGTCAGCACTGGGGCGCGGCTATCCCGTCCCCAGACTCCGTGCAGCTGTCCCCCGCCCCCCGTACCCTTTCTCCCCCTCTGACCCAGGATTCCATTCAGGAGCACATGCTGCTTGTAGCTGTCAGCTCTTGATTCCTCATCTGGAACCACTCCCCAGTCTCGCTTTGTCCACCTTCTGGCACCTTACGCTGGCCAACCCTGAGCGCGGAGCTCTGTGCCGTCGCCTCCTGACCAGTATCAGGCACCTGTATCCTCGGCAGGGCCGCCCAGTGACCCCTGAGCTCTGCCTGGCCCCACGTGTCCAGTGGCCACAGCCGGGGAGGGGGTTTTGACTCTGATCCTAGCCGTGTCTGCCGCACCTCCCCACGAAGTCCCCTCTCACGCCTTTGGGAGTGATTCTGCTTTGTGGCGAGGTGCTCTGAGATGGCGGCAATAACCTGTCGCTTGTGAAACCCCAGTCTGCTGGCCCTGGCCTCTGTGAGCCTCCCCTGCCCCCGCCTCTGACGGCCTCTGACAGTCTCTGGAGGGGCTGTATGAAGCCCGTGTTCTTCCTCATGTGGAGAAGTCGGCATTCTGTGCAGAACGGCTGTGCCTTCAGCCTCATTTGTGGATTTATTCATTTGTTTTTACATCTGGGTGGACTCAGATTCCTGTTTTGTCCAATCGGTTGTAATTCGTGACTACCACTGTTTGTTTTGTTGCTTAAATTATCCCAGATTGGGCCAGTAAGAGCCCCTTCGAGCTGACATTGGTGTCCTTTATACCCTATCTCTCTTTTTTTTTCTTTCCTTTTTAAGCACTTTCTGACTTTCTACCTTTCCTGATCCACCTCTGGATCACTTGTCCAAAGAGCCTTGGTTCCTTTCAGAGGAGAATGGTATTCTGGTATTGTCTCATTGCCACGAGTCAGCTGCCCACCGAGGCCTCCTCCACCCTGGGAAGGGGAGCTGGGCTGTGGCCCAGAACTCCAGGTGGGGAGCCAGCCCCTTAGGCCATGGCCGACTGGCCCAGGTGGGAAGCCCTCTGGATCCCTCCTCCCGTGTCTCAGGGTACAGAGAGGGACAGGTGTGCTGCACACCAGTGCCACCTGCCACCTCTCACGCCCTGTTCCCTCCATCTGCAGCCTTTCATGTATGGGGACTACATCGCCTATGACTGCTGGTTGGGGAAGGTCTATGACTTAAAGAACCAGATCATTCTGAAGCTATCCAACGGTGCCAGGTACGCAGCTCACCACATGGGGCCGCGCTGGGCAGGGGCCGCCCGGGGACAAGGAGCCAAGTGTGTTTTCTCTCGGGGCCCATGAGGACATGTGCTGCAAGCGCTTGGGGAGCGCTTGGGGCCTGACCATGGACTGGTCTCCTGTTGCCCTGGCCTCATTTAGAGTGTCTGCTAGGGGCTGATGCTTTATTTTAGACACTCTTTAATGGTAGCGAGCTCTCCCTTATGGGTTAGGGTCTGGTTTGTTTTGAGGGAGTTACGTGTACAAGTGTGGGGGCCGAGCTGTGGATAGGGGTAAATCACGCCATCGCAGGGCCTGCCAGCATATCAGTGCCTCCGGGTAACTCCTTGTGATGCTGGTCAGCACCGCTGTGTGTCCTGCGGCCATGCCTCCCCTGGGGCTCTGTCATTGTGCCCCATGAACCGAACCCCTGTTCGCCATTTCAGGTGCTCCATGAACACAGAAGATGGTGCCAAGCTCTACGATGTCTGCCCCCACGTCAGCGACTCTGTACGTGTGCCCCGCCCATGCAGGCTTCTTGGGGGGCAGGCTTAGGGGGACGGGCTTGGGGGGCAGCCCCCTGGGCTGCACGGGAAGGAGGACTGCTTAGCAGCCAGCTTGGAGGTAGCCCAGGCTAAGCAGGTGCTGCCTCTGGGCCGAGTGGTTTCCGACAAAAGGGGTGTGTGCACACCAGAATGTCCAGAAGTCTGGGTGTGGGCAGGAGGCGTTGGAACTTTTCTTTGCGTTTTGTTAACTCGAGCTCATTCTTTAAAAAAACATCTACGGTAGTAGAGTCTGTACACTTGTTACACTGGGATATTCTAGAACAGTCATGTGTGACCTTGCTTTATAATTAAGTATGGTAGTGTGGGGGTTACAAGAGCAAACAGGTTTGGGGACTGCTGCCTTCGAGAGTCCTCGAAGTGTCACCCGACCGACAACGTGGACATGGCCTTGAGAGTGTGTTACAATGAGTCAGATGTGCCTTCTCATAAGCTTGCCGGCTGACTTATGTGCACTTTGGTTTGAGAGCTGCTGCTCTGGAGCCCAAGGGTCTGTTCCAGCTTGGGGAGGGGGAGAGCGTGCAGGGGTGAGGCAAGGGAAGGGGTGGATGTGGAGAGCTCCGGCCCTCGAGGAGGTCCCACTTACAAGGACTTTTCCTCTGGCCCCAAACCCTGCAGGGTCTCTTCTTTGATGACTCCTACGGCTTCTACCCGGGCCAGGTGCTCATTGGCCCTGCCAAGATCTTCTCCAGCGTCCAGTGGCTGTCGGGGGTCAAGCCTGTGCTCAGCACCAAGAGCAAATTCCGAGTGGTGGTGGAAGAGGTAGGGGCTGGGGTGGGGCCACCTTCTCAGCCTCCGTGCCCCAGAGCTGAGCTGCAGCCCGCTCCCTCCTTGTCTGCTCCGAGGGCTGAGCCCTACTCCTTAGCCCTTTGATCGGAAGGGCTCTAAGTAGAGGGAAGCCAGGGTGTGCCCATGGGGTGACTGCTGGGCACGTGACCCCCAGCTGGCGGACCTCTCCAGAGCAAGGTGGCGAGTGGCAGATCTGCTGGGCCCTGACGTGGTGGAGGTCCCTGGGGTGAGGCTGTGGTGGTTACCAGTGGAGCCTGCTCTGGGGGTGTCCTGCTTGGGGCGCTGTACTCTGAAGACCCGCTTCCTGCTCTGGAGGTCAGGTGGGCTCTGGGCAGCTGCTTGACTGAGAGCTGTTCAGCTGCTGGCTAAGGCCCTTTCCCACCCACCGTCCCCAGGTGCAGGTTGTAGAGCTGAAAGTCACATGGATTACCAAGAGTTTCTGTCCAGGGGGCACGGACAGCGTCAGCCCCCCGCCCTCTGTCATTACTCAGGAAAACCTAGGCAGGTGAGTGGCCCCAGCGTGCCCACTCCAGCAACCCCAGTGGCATGCCCGAGCAGGTCTCTGGGCCAGAGTCGTAGGGGAGTCGAGGTTGAGGGTGGTGTGTGGGGCGCTGACCTCAGCCGTGGCCCAGTCCCCACTTCTCTCTCTCCCAGGGTGAAGCGTCTCGGATGCTTTGACCATGCTCAGCGGCAGCTGGGGGAGCGCTGTCTGTATGTCTTCCCAGCCAAGGTAGAGCCGGCCAAGATTGCCTGTGAATGTCCAGAAAAACACTGCGCCCAGGGGGAGGGCTCTATGGCCAAGAAGGTATGTCCTTGGGGTTGGGCTCGGTGGGCATTTGAGGAACTGGCCTTGAGCTATTTCCACAGCCAGGAAGGACAGTCTGTGCTTTAGGCCTTGGGGGGCAGCCCTGATCACCCTTGCAGGCCACCTAGGTGTGTATAGCTGCCCCCCCCCGCCCCGAGCCGCCTGGGTGTCCCCCATGCCCGGGGTGGGGCCGTGCCGGCCCTGCGGCTCCACAGCGCTCGTCCTCCCTGCTCTGCCCTCCCAGGTGAAGCGCCTGTTGAAGAAGCAGGTCGTGAGGATCATGTCCTGCCCCCCGGACGCGCAGTGCCCCAGAGACCATTCCATGGAGGACCCAGGAAAGAAAGGAGGGGCCAGAGCCAAGAGCGAAGCAGGGTCCATCAGCCCCGAGGAGACGCCCGATGGGTCCGCCAGCCCGGTGGAGGTGCAGGACGACGGCTCGGAGGAGGCGCCGGATGCCGGTGAGCCGCTGGCCCCCTTCCTGCTGAAGGGGGGCGGGGACGACAGGCTGCACTCGGCAGAGCAGGACGCGGATGATGAGGCTGCTGACGACACGGACGACACCAGCTCGGTGACCTCCTCGGCCAGCTCCACCACCTCCTCCCAGAGCGGCAGCGGCACGAGCAGGAAGAAGAGCATCCCCTTGTCGATCAAGAACTTAAAGCGAAAACACAAGCGGAAGAAGAATAAAATCACTCGTGACTTCAAGCCAGGGGACAGGTAAACCCGGAGGGCACCCTCTCCTGGCCGAGGGTCCAGCCTGAGGCCGTCCCTTTGGCACCTCTACGCACACACGTGCACGCGCGCGCGCGCACACACACACACACACACACACACACGGGCTGCGAGCCCTCAGCAGGCCTGGGTGGAAAGGAGACATCTGGGAGTGGGGGTGGCAGGTAGCGTAGTGGCCCTGGCCCGGAGTCTGGCCTCTGGGACCACGTTGGCTGAGCTCTCCCAAGAGAGACCTTTCTCAGAGGAGGGGGCGGGCACGGGAGGTGTAGGTGAGCACCTAGGGACCTGTTCGTCTTCCTCCCTGCCTGTTGCGTGTGGCCCGGCTGGCTGGTGCGCCGCGCCCGCAGGGTGGCCGTGGAGGTGGTGACCACCATGACCTCGGCAGACGTCATGTGGCAGGACGGCTCCGTCGAGTGCAACATCCGCTCCAACGACCTCTTTCCTGTGCACCACCTGGACAACAACGAGTTCTGCCCCGGAGACTTCGTGGTGGATAAACGAGGTAGTGCCGGCTCTAGAGGGCCACCTGGCCAAGGGCCTGGGCCGGGCTTAGGAAGGAAGGGCTGGAGGTCTCAGGGGCAGGGAGGAGACTCTCTCAGAAGGTGACTCACCTTTTCAAGGACAGGGACAGCCTTTTCCGGCCTCCCCCAGCCTAGCCAGGGAGCAACGGGGCTCTGTGCCCTGCCGTGGTTGGGAGCTCAGGGGTGGTAGGTGGCACCACTGCAGCTCCTGAGACGTTCTCTGTTCGGGTTCCCCAGTCCAGAGCTGTCCGGACCCCGCCGTCTACGGTGTGGTGCAGTCTGGGGACCACGTGGGCCGTACCTGCATGGTGAAGTGGTTCAAGCTGCGGCCAAGTGGGGATGACGTGGAGGTGAGTGTGTGCAGCTCCCCTGCTGCTTCGGGGTGCGCTGGGTGTGCGGCCCCTGCGCTCGTGACAACCCATCCTGTCCTCCAGCTGATCGGAGAAGAGGAGGACGTGAGCGTCTACGACATTGCCGACCACCCTGACTTCCGGTTCCGCACCACCGACATCGTCATCCGCATTGGCAATACCGAGGACGGAGCTCCTCACAAGGAGGATGAGGTAGGGCTTCCCGCCAGTTCGGGGTGGGAAGTTTGGAGTTGGGGGGGGCTGTCTCTCTACATCCCGTCCAGCATCTGCAGTCCCTGGAGGTGCCACCAGGTGGCCCCAGGAGACCAGATCTGGAAGTCCTCTGGGCTCCCGGTCTGCCTCCAGTGTCTTGCCCAGAAGGGCCACTACCTGACGGCCTCCCCAGGGTTTCTCCTGCCAGTCAGGGTCAGGGTCAGATTTCATGTAGCTGCTCCCTGAGCCCCGGTGGCTCCAGCTTCCGGTCCTGAGTGCTGTAGGGGCGCGGGAGCGGCTGGAGGAGGGGGCGTCCATGGCCTCACCATGGGCCTTGGTGAGGGGGTAGGAACATTGCCTGGGGCCAAGCAGAGGAAGAGTAGAAACGAAAGTCCCATGGCAGGAACCCCATCCTGAGAGTATCAGGAAGTCTGGTGAGAGCAGATGCTACGGGTAGGAAAGGCGTTAACAGGGCTCTGTGCCCGTGACTGCCCACGTTGGAACCAGTGGGTCCCACGCTTGAGCTGCTCAGCACGTGTGGCCTCTGGCTGGCACCCACGTCCCTTCCCTTCTCATTGCCTCACCCTTGTCGCCCATTGCCAGAGCTCCCGTTTGGAGGTGCTCTGGCCCTCCCTGCCCCCTCAGAGAGCTCCTCCCTTGACCCTGTCCCATTTGCTCTGCAGCCGTCGGTTGGCCAAGTGGCCCGTGTGGACGTCAGCAGCAAGGTGGAGGTGGTGTGGGCCGACAACTCAAAGACTATCATCCTGCCCCAGGTGAGCCCCGGCCCGGACCCACATCAGTTGGCTCGCAGCTGTGGCAGCTGTGCTGGAAGCCCTGGCCTGTCCCCTGTCCCTTCTCAAGGAACAGGAGGACAGGCTCACAGATCTTCCTGGTGAGGGTCTCTTCTTTTGGGTGTGTGGGTCTCAGGGAGAGCCTGAGAGGAAGGGGGCATCACATGCCGCGTGCTGGGGTGGGGGCGGGAGGCAGGAGAGCAGGGGGGCCGCCCACAGCTGGCCCAAGTCTTGCCCCACCTGGAAGGCTCCCCAGGTTGCCGGGTGCGCAGATTGTCAAGCCTTCTGGGTTTGCTGTATTCCCTCTCCCCATGCTAAGAAGTATAGCTAGCTTGCTCTAGGACAGAGCCTTTCCTACCAACATTTCTAGGAAAACTTCCCCAGATCAGGACGAGAAAGGAACAGAGGTAGCGTCCCAGTCCCAGCTCAGCTGTTCTCTGTACTGTTTCTTTGCCCCTTTGAACTGATCCTCCCTTCCCAGCCCCCCTTTCTTGGCCCCTTTATGGGGTGTGGGAGGGAGTGGCTCACCCCTTGGTCTGGGCGGCTGTTCCAGGAACACGAGAACAGGATGTGACACAGTCCAGCTCTGCTGAACCTCCCACTGCTAGTGCATGTTAGTAGCCACAGAGGGGGCTGCCCCGAATCCTCTGGGGGCGGGGTTGGATTTGCCACCGAGGGCTAATGGTGGCCAGTATACACAGGGGCAGAGGAGCCCAGAACAGCCCTTGGCTGTGGGCTGGGGCTTCAAGCCCTGCAGGCGGGTGTGGGGCAGGCAGAGGCCCCTCCCAGAGACCCAGGGACACGGAGAGGCCCAACAGCAAGAGTCCAGAGCAGGAAGTGGGGAAAGGCTGGAGGAGGCCCACTGAGGCCTCAGTGTACCCCGGCACTGCCAGCTCTGAGGGTCGGGGTCTGCCCCGGAGCCCGGCAGAGCCTCTCTGAGCTGCCTGTGCCCCTCTGCCCCCAGCACTTGTACAACATCGAGTCTGAGATCGAGGAGTCAGACTATGACTCAGTGGAAGGCAGCAGCAGCGGGGCGTCGTCGGATGAGTGGGAAGACGACAGCGACAGCTGGGAGACTGACAACGGGCTGGTGGAGGACGAGCACCCCAAGATCGAGGAGCCCCCCATCCCACCCGCTGAGCAGCCGGCAGCCCCCGAGGAGGACAAGGGGGTGGTGATCAGCGAAGAGGCTGCTACAGCCGCCATTCAGGGGGCTGTGGCCATGGCTGCCCCCGTGGCGGGGCTGATGGAGAAGGCTGGCAAGGACGGGCCCCCAAAGAGCTTCCGGGAGTTGAAAGAGGCCATCAAGATCCTGGAGAGCCTCAAGAACATGACCGTGGAGCAGCTTCTGACAGGCTCCCCCACCTCCCCCACAGTGGAGCCTGAGAAACCCACTCGGGAGAAGAAGTTTCTAGATGACATCAAGAAACTGCAGGAAAATCTCAAGAAGACGCTGGACAATGTGGCCATTGCAGAGGAGGAGAAGATGGAGGCAATGCCGGACACAGAGCGCAAGGAGGACAAACCTGAAGGGCAGTCACCTGTGAAGGCCGAGTGGCCCAGCGAGACTCCGGTGCTCTGTCAGCAGTGCGGCGGCAAGCCGGGTGTCACATTCACCAGTGCTAAGGGCGAGGTCTTCTCAGTGCTGGAGTTCGCGCCCTGTGAGTTCACCTTCTCTGTGCCAGTCCCCTCCCTGCTCCCACCTGCCTCCTGAGGGGAGAAAACCATTTCCCTGGTGTGGTCAGTGGTGCGGATGCCAGGCTAGTGGGTGCGAAGCCTGTGGGCTTATATTCGCCTGTCTGGGGAGCATACCCAGCAGCTGCTCCCTCCGGGCCCATGCGTCCCAGGGGCGGCAGCCAGGTAGAGCGCTCAGGGCTTGCCATTACGGACTGACCCCTCTTTGTTCCCCTTCTAGCAAATCACTCTTTTAAGAAAATTGAGTTCCAGCCTCCAGAAGCCAAGAAGTTCTTCAGCACGGTACGGAAGGAGATGGCCCTGCTGGCTACCTCGCTGCCTGACGGCATCATGGTCAAGACCTTTGAGGATAGAATGGCAAGTAGCCTGGAGTGGGCTCGGTGCAGGCAGGTGTGGGCCTGCTTGCGTGGGCGCTTGGTGCTGCGGAGGCAGCCTGCTCTGGGCACCTGGAGCCCCGGGACTGAGCAGCCCGAGAGGCCGCCCACACCCCTTACAGGGCTGGGAGCCTGGCTCAGTTGGGGCGGGGGCAGGGGGGAGGACTCCCAGGCCCGTGTCTAGACCACATGGTGTGTTCTTTTCTCCCTCCTTTTAAAAGTTAGTTTTAAAGTACACAGTTATTACCTGAGTGCTGTTCTTTTGAAATACTAGAACATCACAGAAAAAGCTAACATTGCCTTTGACCAGTCCTCACCCAGCCCCTAGGTGTCATGACTTCAGGAGTTTTGTGGGTCTCCCTGCAGAAGACCTTCTTTTATATGTTCAGGTTGTCCTGTGTCACCAGAAACATCGTTTTGTGATTTATCTCACATGAACGGTCCGGCACCGTATGCGTCGTCTGCAGTTTGCTTTTCTTGCTCAGTGGGCTCGTTTTTGAGACCTACTGATGTCGGTGCCTCGTGACCTGGTTCCTTCTCTTTTGGCTACAGGCTAGTACTCCCCGACGTGGCCATGTCCCACTGCCTTCTCCGCTCCTCTCTCTGTGGCCCAGGCACAGGCAAGCCCGGCCCGTCACCTCATTCAGTCAACACCTCCACCGGGCCCCTGCTGGGCGCTGCGCGTTGTGCAAGACACTGAACTTGAGTCTGACCCCAGCTGCAGCCCAGCCGTGGTCAGAGGGGCCACAGAATGGAAGACAGGCGCTGCTTGGCCCTGCCTGCAGCAGGCTGGAGGCCCCAGGGTGGGACTGCTCAGGGTTCTTTTTTCTTTTTTCCCTTCATTTTAGGGTTTTTTTGTTGTTGTTGTTTTGTTTTTTTAGTATTTTATTTGACAGAGAGGGAACACAAGCAGGGTGAGTGGGAGAGGAAGAAGCAGGTTTCTCGCCAAGCAGGGAGCCCAACGTGGGGCTCTATCCCAGGACTCTGGGATCATGACCTGAGCTGAAGGCAGACGCTTAATGACTGAGCCACCCAGGCGCCCCTCTTGATTTTATTTAAATTCACCTAACGGCGCCTGGGTGGCTCAGTGGGGTAAAACCTCTGCCTTTGGCTTAGGTCATGATCCCGGGGTCCTGGGATTGAGCCCCACATTGGGCTCTCTGCTCAGAGGGGAGCCTGCTTCCTCCTCTCTCTGCCTGCCTCTCTGCATACTTGTGATCTCTCTCTGTCAAATAAATAAATAAAATCTTTTAAAAATAAAGTAAATGAATGAATGAGTAAATTCAGTTAACATAAGCTACACTATGAGTTTCAGAGGTGGAGGTCAGTAACTCATCAGTTGCATGTAAGCCAGTGCTCATCCATCACGGGCCCTCCTGAATGCCGGGCACCCAGGCCCCCTATTCCCCCACACCCCCACCCTGGCTGCTCAGGGTTCTTAATGACACTTTCGCTTTTTCTTGAGTTTTAGTAAAACTTTTGAAAATGCCAGCCAAAATTCCAAACTGGAATTTTGAAAATTCCAGTCTCAGCTCTGCTGAGAGAAGGGAATGGCATTTTTTCCAAGTCTCACTCGGAGGGACAGGGAAGTAGTGCGTTATCTTGAGGCCCGCAGGGTGACACCGATAAAAACATACATGAGAGGATTCTGTCCTTCCAGTCGGTCCTCCGCCTTCACTGTCTGTACGTCCTGCAGTGTCACATGCCTTGCTACTTGCAGTTGGTACCACCCCCCACACCTGACACAGATATCAAACATCTGTGGGGAATCTCCCCGATTACTTAATGACCTGAGTTTCTTTGGTGGTCTGCCAGCATTGCCACAGGAGTTCCAGATCCCCTTGTCCCTCTGGTTCCCTAAAAGCAAGTGAAGCCTTGCCACCCTGGAATGTTCTTTCATCTTCTAACTAGTTGTAATTGTTGCTGGCCTGCGTGGGGGCGGGGCTCAGGGCAGGTGTTTGAAGGAGTCAGATTTAAAGTAATGACTTATGATGAAAAACACCTGGCGAAGTAAAAACAAGTTGGGATAATTCCATTAATACCACAGAGTGGAAAGATGCTGTGTAGGCCCACACAGGAATGTTTCCCTTTAGCTTCTCCGTAGCTGGTGGTGTCTGGAGTCCCTGGGTGCTGTTCCCTCCCCCCCCACGCACACACCCCTGCCCCCTGATCCAAGCAGGCACCATGTGCAGAAGCGCCCCCCAACCTCAGCCTTCCCTCCCTATAGGACCTCTTCTCGGCCCTAATTAAGGGCCCCACTCGCACCCCCTACGAGGATGGCCTCTACTTGTTCGACATCCAGCTCCCCAACATCTACCCAGCCGTGCCCCCCCACTTCTGCTACCTCTCCCAGTGCAGTGGCCGCCTGAACCCCAACCTGTATGACAACGGGAAGGTGTGCGTCAGCCTCCTGGGCACCTGGATCGGAAAGGTGAGTCTGGCGCCAGCCAGCCAGGGCGGAAGGACAGCGGGTCGGGGGTGGGTGTCTGGGGCAGAGGTGATCGTGCTTGTGTGTGTTTCAGGGGACAGAGAGGTGGACGAGCAAGTCCAGCCTTCTCCAGGTGCTCATCTCCATCCAAGGTACAGTGCGCAGGATGGGGGTGGTGGTGGGGAAACTGCTGGAGGGTCCAATGACTCTGGCCTTTATGTCCCCCACATCCCGCCTGTAGCTCTGGCCGCCCTCAGGGGATCGTCAGGCCAGCTCTCATGGGCTCCCCACTCCCACAGGTCTGATCCTGGTGAATGAACCGTACTACAATGAAGCGGGCTTCGACAGTGACCGGGGCCTGCAGGAGGGGTACGAGAACAGTCGTTGCTACAACGAAATGGCGCTCATCCGCGTGGTGCAGTCCATGACCCAGCTGGTGCGGCGGCCCCCGGAGGTGTTCGAGCAGGAGATCCGGCAGCACTTCCGCGCTGGCGGCTGGAGGCTGGTGAGCCGCATCGAGTCCTGGCTGGAGACCCACGCCCTGCTGGAGAGCGCCCAGGCGCTGCCCAACGGCATCCCCAAGGACAGCCGCTCCCCGGAGCCGCCGGCCGTGGCCGAGCTCTCCGACTATGGCCGAGAAGAACCTGAGGACGGAGGGCTGGGCCCCGGAGAGGCCTCCCAGGGCTCAGACTCGGAGGGCGGCGCCCAGGGCCTGGCCTCAGCTAGCAGGGACCGCACAGACCAGACTTCGGAGGCAGCTCCTGACGCCCCGGTGCCACCCAGCGTCAAACCAAAGAAGCGGAGGAAGAGCTACCGGAGCTTCTTGCCCGAGAAGAGCGGCTACCCCGACATCGGCTTCCCGCTATTCCCGCTTTCCAAGGGTTTCATCAAGAGCATCCGGGGTGTCCTGACGCAGTTCCGGGCCGCTCTGCTGGAGGCGGGCATGCCTGAGAGCACAGAGGACAAGTAGCCGCCCGCCTCGAGCAAGGAACGTCTCGTGGGGAGAGGTCAGCTGCTGCCGCTCACTCCCTCCCCTGGAATCGCCCGTCTTCCCAACTTTTCCTTTGTCCCCAGTGCAGAAGCCCCTCGTTGCCCTCTCCCCAAGGTGAGTTTGATGCTGAAGTGCAAGAAGTTTCTTGAGATGCTGCCGTTTCTTTCCCGAAGCAATCTTTCAACAGGCCGGCCCCCAGTGGCAAAGAGGATCTGAAACCTGTTGCTGATTTTCCACTCGCCACCCAGGCAGAGGGTCCCGGCACTAGCTCCCTTGCCGTCCCCTTCTCAGGTCTGAGGTGGGGTCTTCCTAGGGCCTGACACAAGGGCTCCGTGGGGGTCCACGTGTCGGGCAGCGCAGCAGCAGGACGAGTGGCTGTGCCTTGCATGAAGTGTGGGTTGCGCCAGAAGTGCCCCGCCCCCGCCCCTGTCAACCCCCCCGTGCCCCTGTAGCTTCCCTGTTCCCAGGCCCCCCTGCTGCCACCGCCACCAGCCCTTCCTTGTCCCCCTAGCTGGGGAGCTGTAGCTGCTGTCACCGACTCCTGGCTCTGCTCTGGACCATTTAGACCCCAGGATAACTCTCAGGCCTGTTGAACTTGCTCTCTAAGAGAGGTTGGGACCAGGCTGGGTTCAGGGGGATACCCAGGAAAAGCGGCGCCCCTCACATGTGACACGGAATGAGGACCGGGGAGCTGCTGGAAAAACAGCGGTAGGTGCCTTGCTCTGGCATTCTGGCCTCCGCCGCACCCTAGGGCCCCAGGAGGCGGAGCAGCAGCGCAGACGAGGGCGGGGCGGGGCGGGGCCTCTCCCGCACACTCTGCCCCCCCACTGTCAAATGCTAACCCTGGGAGGCGGCCTGTAGTTCACTGAACACAGAAGGAAGGAGCCAGCCGCTTCCAAACTGCAGGCTCATCCGAGGGGAGGGGGGCGGCCAGCGGGGGTTCTCCTCCCTTGCAGACAGGCCCAGAGGTTTACAGGTTTTCTAAGCTTTTGATAATGTGAAGCTCCAGGTTAAGAGGTTGCTGTTGAGCACATCACAGCTGTGTAATTTTTGGTGTATGTATGTAATATTTAAGGTTGGAAGAAAGTCTCAAAAGCAAAGATATTAACTCTTATTAGAAAAAAAAGACAAAAAAAAAAAAAAAAAAAGAAGCCAAAGCATGATGCGTCTTGTCCGCCTTAAGCTGGCTCCGCGCCCGCGCTGTGCCCTAACCGCCCGGCGCGTGAGGACGGAGCCGCGCCACGGGCCGCGGCATTTGGAGCCCCAAGTCGGTATCTTGTTTGAGAAACATCCAGAGTAACTGGTGGGGCTGTGCTTCCCAGTGCGTTGTTCATGTGGAGATGTGAATGCCTACTGCTTAAGATGTCTGTATAAAGTGCTGTGTGATTAAACTTTTTTTTTACTTGCATTTTTTTTTTTTGTTTGGCTCATTACAATGTACAAAAAAAGACTAGGTGGCGCCATTAAACCTGCCTCTGCCATTCATCTGGGCTCTGTCGCCTTTCTTCCCCTCTGGGGCACCCCATACATCCCTCCCCAGGGGTTGGCAAGACCCGTGACCAGGAAGGTTCACGCCACCAACACCTTCTACCTTGCCCGGTCTGCGCGTGCGCCTTCCGCCTTGGCAGTCGTGGGTGTCCCGGGGCCTGGGAGACCGGGGTCTCGTTCACTGGGTCAGTGCTCTTGTCTGTGGGGACGGCCTGTGTTCCATCTTTCCAGCGCTGGTTTCCAGCATTATCTGCCAGCAGCGGCTGGGGTCCCTGGGGACTTGCGGGCGCTGGGGGAGCCCACATCGAAGCACCTGGCCTGGCCTTTAAGCCAAAATGGTTTCCAGTTTGGGGACCTGGTATCGGCCCCTCCCTCCTTTCTCCTTTTAACTTCCACCCTCCCCCCACCCAGCCCCGCCAAGGACCTGGCAGGGTCAGGTAGAGGAGGCTGGGGGAGCCCTAGAGCCCTCACTGGAGGGCCAACAGACTCCTTTCAGGAGGGAACAGCTGTCTCTATTGTGGTTTTGTTGCTCATTTCCCTAATGCCCCTGAAATCAGACCTTTTCCCCCTTCACTGAGGCCAGCTGGCTGTGCGGCCCCAGGTAAGTCATCCTGGCTCTGAGTTTGTCTTCCACATGGGGTAGGCCGTTGGTTGAGCTCCCCGGCTTCTTCCAGGCCACAGATGGCTTAATCATTGGGGCAGGACCCCAACCCCTGCTAAAACAGATGACAATGACAACAACAACAAACGGAGGCAGCCCTGGTCCCATGCCCACCGCCAGAAATGACACCAGGAGTTAGTGCCACGCATTGGCCGATCCACTGCCCACCACTGGGCATTGCTAATGGAAAGTTGTAGAGCGAGACCCCACTCCCTCCCCAACGCCTAGGATAAGACCAGTACGCTGGGAATGTCACTTTATTTGGATCTGATTCATGGGGTTGGGCTCCCAGAAACAAAATGGGAGTGGCCTCCACAGGCAGGGAGGGCCAGCCAGCCAGGCTTCTGGCCCAGAGCCTCATTCTGGCCCTTGGTAGGCAGAGCCTTTCCTTCCAAAGCACAGCCTCCACCTTCCCACCGTCTTCAGGGGTCCTCCTTCCCACCACACGAGCTGTGGACAGGTCCTCCAGGCCTGGGAGAAGGTGCAGCGCTCTGAGCTCCGAGTTGACCAGGAGGCTAAGGCACAGCGAGGCCCACAGTCAGAAATGCTCTCTTTGAAGGGCTCCCTGCTGTGGCTTCTGGCTGGGTGGGGCCTTCACGCAGCCACTGACCATCCAGATATAGTCTGGGTGCACCTGGCCCTGCACCGCCTCACTGACCATCAACTCGCCATCCACGGCAAACATACCCTTCCCGTCCTTGGGCTCCAGGCGGAAGGCAACCACAGGCGCGTACACCAAGTAGGGGCAGTCATAGTCCATGTGCCTCCCCTTCTCCATGGCCAGGAAGAGGCGCAGCAGCATGGCCCGAGACACACCCGCCCGCACGTAGAACAGGTGCATGGTGCCGGCTGGACACCGGCCCATGGGGGCCGCGAACATCTCACTGCTCAGGTGGGTGTGCAGCAGCACCAGCACCAGCACGAAGTCCTGCTCCGGGACCACAGTCCAGTGCGGGGGCACTGGCTCCTGCAGGGGTACAAGGTGGGCATCCGTGGGACCCTGCTGGTTCTGCTGCTCCACAGCAGCGGGGGCGGGCCCCTGGGAGACCACCCGTTCCGCGGGGAGGTAGGCTAGCGTGCCCTTGTAGACACGCAGGGCCGCCAGGCGCAGGAAGGTGCCCAGGGTGAAGCGCATCTCCCCTAGACGCCGAAACCTCTCGCTCTCCAGATCCACGTCAGCAATGAAGCCCCACGCCAGGCTCAGCACAGAGAAAAGCCGAAGCCCCGAGGCCGTCTGCAGCGACAGCAGGTTCATGGGTGCCAGCAGCCGGCGGCACAGCAGCAGCGTGCAGTTGGTCAAGAGGTCCTCATTTGTCACCTGTTCATAGCTGCAGGGGAGAGAGGTCAGAGGGAGCCGGGCAGGAGGCCTCACCTGCCCTCCCCTTCCTCTGCCTGGGGACTTGAGGCATGCAGAGGAACACTGGGTCCCTAGATGAAGAAGGTGGAGGCAGCCAGCTGGAGTCACCCGGAGAGGACCCCAGAACCGACGGTGAAGGGTACGCCAGTACCTGGTGACTTAGAAAACCTGGCAGGAGAGTGGCGCTGAGGGGAAACAGAGGCCCACTCTGACCCTGGGCTCTCACCCGGCATAATGGTTCAGAGAAGCCGCCAGGGCATTGCCGGAGCCAGCAGGGAGGCTACACAGGGGCTTGTGGATGGCGGTCTCCCAGTCCGGCCGCTCCATGAGCCCGTTCACCACCTGTTGGAACATGGGGAGGGGGTGTGAGGGGCGGGGGGCCAGCCTGGGTAGTGCGGCCCCCCACCACCCACACCCAGCCCCAACGGGGGGGGGGGGGGGGCTCACCTCATGCATCAGCCCATCCCCAGACATGACCACCAGCGCGTCCCAGCGCCCCAGCTCCTCAACCCGCACCAGCTCCCGGGCGTGGTTCCGATGCTCTGCGGAGAGACAGGGTGGCCACGGGGCATCTGAGGGGCCCTGGCAGGGGATGCTCCCCGCAACCCCTCGGGGAGGCACTCACCAGTGAGCATCAGCGTGAAGGAGACATCGGCCTGAGCCAGCAGGGGCTGCACGTGGCTGCGGAAGAGCTGCAGCGCCTTGCCCTTGCCCCCGCGCGGGTTTAACAGGACCAGCACGCGGCAGGGCCGGGGCAGGCTCCAGGCGCCGCACGCTGGAAAAACAAGCCCCAAAAAGGCCACGTCCCCAAACGGCCGCTAGGGGGCCGCGGATCACAACGGGGGTACCCGGGGGGAAACGTGGGGCCTGAAATCCCCGGGTAAGCGAGCCAACCGAGCCGGGCAGGAGGCTGCGGCCTCCAGTGGGGAGCTCTGGGAGGGAGCACCGTGCCCTTGACGTCCCAGTCCCTGGCTGGGGCCGGGCCCGCTTCTGGCCTCCTAGGGAAAAGTGTTTCTACTGTCCCAGCCCCTCTTTTGCCCAGCTGACTCCGGCCATTCTTCCTGGCAAGGGAGGAAGGGGACCCCCCCTCACCACCCAGACCTTCCCCACCCGGACCCCACAAACCTGGATTCATAACCTCGACCCGCGGCTCCCGCTGCCAGGGCGGCCCCGGCGCTGTCGGGGAGCTGCCCGTGGCGGCGGCTCCTGCCTTCAGCTCCTTATCGGTGCTGCCCAGGAGGGCGTCACGGTGCCGGCTCAGGGGCTCGCCCTCCCCGCCCGGAGCCGGGGCCGTGGAAGCATCCGCGTCATCCCCTGCGGCTGCGGGATCTGAGGGAGAGGAGACGGCGCTGGCGGAGTCCGGAGCAGCCCCCTGAGCTGGGGAGCGCCCAGCTAGATCCTCGGACCACGCTCGGGGAGCCGCGCGCTCCCGCATCGCCTAGTCCTCCGAGGGGTCCCGAGAGCCGAGGTCTGGTGCCACCAAGGGCGCTCCCGTCCTAGAACTGAGCCCCCACCCTCAGGGCCGAGAGGTCTCTTCCTGGGGGCTCTCCTCTCAGGAGCGTCGGGTTCCGGCCCGACGATGAGTCAGAGCCCCGTGGCTCTCTCGGTCGCACTAGCTCCTCACCCGGCCCGGGACTGCCAGGGGGAAGGGGGGTGCAGTGGCGTAAAAATGCCAGAAGTGGAGCGGACATCGCGGGGCACAAAGTTCGGCGCAAAGCGATCGCCGCCCCGAGCCGGCCGGGTGGCTGGGGCCACCACCCCGAGCTCCAGAGCGGCGGGGGTCCCAAAGCCTGGCAGCGCCGCCGGGACGCGCCCTTCGCTCGTGGGAGCAGCGCCGGGGTCGCGCGGGGCCTGAGCCCGAGCCCCGCCGCCGGTCGCCGCCTCCCTCAGCGGAGCGCCGAGTG